GGCTTGTGAGATAAGGGAGAACGGGTTTGTTTTGATTGATCGTTTTGATTCCCCGACTCTAATATTGCCTTATACGGGTTTGACGGTGTTGCCCTGGTCGGCCACTCACGCCTCGTGGCGGCCGCAGTTTGATTGTTGCTGGTGTCGCCAGGGGGACTCGTGTTCTTGGCGACGGCTGGTCCTAGGTTACGAGGGAACGACACGTTTCCTTGAGCTTTCCCGTAGTGCGCGGGCGCTGCCCACGCAATTTCGAATTCAGATGCCGGCGAGTCCACCCGCCACTTCACCCTCCCGGAAACTTTCGCGTGGACTCTGTGAGTCCGACGCCGAGGCTTGAAGGCCTCGAACCAACCACCTCCACTGCAAAGACCCGAGGGTTCGGTCACTTTGTGAGGCCGATGATGAGGCCTGAAGGCTTCGAACCCACCACCTATCCCCCAAACCCTTGACGGCTGAAGTTTTGTCTTCCACCGCCATGGCCCTCTCCCCTTGATGCCTTTTTCCGTCCCGATGCATGACGGCAGTTCATTTTCGCGGAAACCTTTTTGATTTTATCGTTTCGGAGAGATCCGACCCCTACGGGACTTCGCGACGACAGTTCGACTCCGGGGAAAACGTCTGGCACGAAACGAGGGCCTCCCGTTCCGTCCGGGAGACTCAACCCTTACGGCCAAAAATCCTCGGTCACGCCCCTCCTAGAACTCTGATCGGTGACCCCCTACGGGAAGCCGCGAGGGGGCGTGAGGTTGCGTATGTGCGTGTGTATGTCGGACCCCCATGCCGCAACGGGGATCCGGCAACGGGGATAGGGGTCTGCAACGGGCATGGGGGTCCGGCATTCTGGGAACGCCGGATTCACCATGTCACGACCCCCATGCCGCAGCGGGTATGGGGATCCGACATTCTGGGAACGCCGGATCCCCCATGTCCGCGGCGGCATGGGGGTCCGGCAGAACCTTCCCCCCCTCTCCCTCGCCCGCAGCGCCATGGGGGTCCGGCGTTCCTAGAACGCTGGACCCCCATGCCCATGCCGGCATGGGGATCCGGCGGTTCGAGACCCCCATGCATGACGGCAGTTCATTTTCGCGGAAACCTTTTTGATTTTATCGTTTCGGAGTGATCCGACCCCCACGGGACTCCGCGACGACAGTTCGACTCCGGGGAAAACCTCTGGCACGAGATGAGGGCCTCCCGTTCCGTCCGGAAGACTCAACCCTTACGGCCAAAAATCCTCGGCCACGCCCCTCCTAGAACTCTGATCGGCGACCCCGTACGGGAAGCCGCGAGGGGGCGTGAGGTTGCGTATGTGCGTGTGTATGTGTGTGTGTGTGCGTGTGTGTGCGTGTGTGCGTGTGTGCGTGTGTGTGTGTGTTGTCATATTCGCTATACACTTAAAGAAAGCATGACTGTACCAGGCCGTTTCGTCGGACTTTCACGAACTATGTGCGTGTGTCGGTGTGTGTGTGTGTGTGCGTGTGTCTGCGTGTGTGTGTCACAGTGTGTGTGTCCGTTTGTGTGTGTGTGTGTGTGTGTATGGGCGGTGGGGGGGGGAGGGGGGCGACCCTCCCCCAACCAACCAATCAATCAATCAATCAAAAAGAAATCAATCAATCAATCAATCAAAAATCAATCAATCAATCAACCAATCAATCAATCAATCAATCAATCAATCATCAATCAATCAGTCAATCATCAATCAATCAATCAATCAATCAATCAATCTTTTTTTTTTTTTTTGGAAAACCCCAGCCCCCCCCCCACCCCAACCCAACCCGCAAACGAACTTTCTTCTTTTTTTCTTGTTTTTTACATCGGGGGGCCAGCCCCCGGCATGCAGCCCCCCCCCAACCCCCTCTCACGTGTTAGCCCCCTCCCGGGAAGCCCCCCGAAATGGCTCATACGACCGTACGTACGGCCGTATGGGCCGTACAGCCGCCCCGTGTTCGTACAGGGTGCAACCTAGGTCTTCAGGCCCGGCCTTCGAGTTTTCAGGAGTTTGGGAAAACTGCCAGTTTTCCCTAATTTCCCAACACTGGGCGAGGTACTAGTGGTTTAAAAGTAATATATATTCTTCTCTCAATCTATTTCATCTTTCTTTGGTACTACGCATCTATCTCATCCTCTCACTAGTCTATTTATAGTACGGGGGAACACCAACCAACCCGGATCTCTCCCTAGAACACCGGGTAGACTTGCACCACAGCTGTGGTGCGAGAGCAAGGCTGTACCAGTCCCTCATCACGGTGACAAGGGGTGGGCTGGCATTGCCCATGGCGGAAATCGGCGGTGCTAGCGCCGAGCAATGGCCAGTCACTGCACCTCCCCCTACCCCCCCCGAACCCCACATGGCGGTGTCTAATAGCCAATATTGTCGCTGCATAGCGGCCAACAACATCAGCCAAGGTCCTGCCAATGCTGGCTTGGGGGGCCAACGGGTTATCTCTAGCTAATAGAACACCAAGCTTGCCCAGGCACATACGT